AACACTCGCGAAGAATTCTCGCACTGCTCTGTTTTCTCCTTAATCCGACTCTGATCCGTTTCAAAACCGCGCTGGCCACTGACGACGTCTGATCTGAACAAACATCACGTTCGTGAACGCTTATTTACGACTACGTCTCGGCATTATAACCTACACCACACAGCGAAGCCCTTCCTGAAAAGCTGATAGTCGACCAGCTAGCCAAGAGATTCAACGTACCTGACGGAACCCCCAGGGTTCATTACGTCACAAAAGTCAGATCAGAAGCAGCCCAAAAAAAAAAAAACAGGGAATGTGAAAACAGCAGGCTGCCTGGCCTTCCAGACAGTTTATCCCGAACATTAATCGGTTTTACCCGGGGCCAATGAAGGCGATGCTTGCCTTAGGGACCGAAATCGTATGGTAATTCCAGCTAACGGCGCCGGAACGAATCCACATACGCAGAAATGCGTGATATTTTACTCGCCTACAGCCACAAAGCTTAAAGAAAGTGTTGCAGACTCACCAAGCGTAGATGGTTCCGTTTTACCGGCTGACATAATCAGCGCCGCCTTAGATAACGGACTTTTCTGACCCTCATGAAGGCAAACCGTGTCCTTAATGCATTCTGGCGACAGGAGCGTAAAATAACGATGAGATATTTTGTATTTTATAGAAATTTTGTTCACAAAGTAAAAAATTAATTTCAGCGTTAAAATATATATGCAGCTAGCGGAACGTCATGATTAAAAAAACCCTATAAAACACATTATAAGGAAACTTAACGTATTCTGAAGGATTTATATAATGAGAGAAGAGCGTATTCTACATTAGATTATGTTGACACTCGAATTTCAGATCAATTCTCGTTCGTAAGACTTGTCAGATTAAATCAAGGACTGGAGGTCCCCTGCTTGACACATTTTCACTTACGTCTTCATGATTTCACTAACTTCGCGCTTCCATAAAATGAGTAAGTTTTATTAATTTTAATTTATTTCAAGGGCGACATTACTCAGAACTTACTTTTCTCGAAATATCAAGCCGTCTGGGAAGGCGTACAAGTCTCGAGGCGACGTCTGGAAGTAAAAAGTACCGGCAAACAAAGCACACAAATGCATCTCGGGGTCGGGGAAAGGTGTGTTCTGTTTGCACAGGACGGCAGTCGGGTGCCCAGGTAATATTTAAGGAGGGAGGGGGCTGTTCCCTCAGATCGGACACTCTGTGAGGCCCAGAGTGATGCTGTGCGCGACCAATATCAACGCAACCAGCTTCTTTACCGACTGACGCACAGTACTTTAGTAAGGCCGTTGTGTCGCACGCATGAGAAACGAGAAATGCATCTGAGAAAAATTGGCATTTTGGTGGATAACATTACAGGAATCAGATGACCAGGATGTCCGAGCTTGTAACGCGTTCCTCTGCTTCAGAAACAGAGAAAACCCGGGTCTTGCAGAAGGAGAATTTTCTGACAAGCTGAGCTAATAACAGCTTGTCATACAGAAGTGATGCAGTAATCACGTCACTCACATTTTAAAATAACTTCAAAAAGTGATCAGCGATCCTGACCTCGGGAGATTAAGAAACGTCTGCTGGGGGGCACATTTTCCGTGTTCAGTCTTGTTACTTGTTTATTACGCCACTGACCTTAAAACTTACGTACCTTTAAAGACGTGTTAATGTACGGAGTTACGCGCCTGCACTGGGTCTGATTTATCTTGAAAATCCGGCTTACTGACTCCTTGGGAAAATATTTAAGAAAATAAACACGACTTAAGATTCGTATGGGGATTTAAAGACGCAGATAATTTTACTGGCAACGAAACAGGACGACGCTCACAGGTTCCTTGCAGGGTCCCGAAAGAAGTTGAGTTCGTCTTTCGCATCTGTAGCTGCTTGTCCGCGATTCAGTTATGAGCATGGGTATTACGGACAGCAAGAGACCAATTTCACTTTAACATCGCATCGATGGTGATATTCTCAACTTGAAGCCTATAAGTATTTTTTTCATAAACATCACCAAGGTGCCAGCAGAGGGAACTTTTGGGATTAGTGGCGACAGCTGGGTTCAAACCAAGGGCCCAGCCCGGTATTTAAACGGTCCCCAGTTCGGTCTCAACCGCGGGCCACTCATCTTGAGACAAAAAGCACACAAATCTGTCAGCATGACGTAAAACCACGAGCGTCGCATATATTTACCATACTTCACACAATGCACAGTGGTCATTACGTCGACAGTACGAAAATTTGTGAGAATCGGAATTGGTCCGGGATCCTCTCCAGTGACGGGCAATGGCGTCATCGGAGTAGAACGTTCGGGTTCTGCTGTTAGACTCAGACGTGGCCCATGAGAGATCGTTGCTGCTATTAATTTTAAGTGCCTTCGAGATGCGGGTTCCGGCAGCTGCCCGCTGCTACGACGTAACAAACAGCTCGGAATATGCCGTAGCGACTGAACGGAGAGCGATCTGACCGCACTTAATGGCCATCGGCGAAATGGAAGTGAGAACCGCTGTGATACAACTCGAGAAAAGTTGGATCCCCTCAAGGAGCTCATGCGCTGACTGTACAAGTTCACGGCTGCCACTTGCCACGAGATCCAGATCTTATGGGACTGCAGGTTAAATCCCAATACGAACACGATTTACAGGCGGACTGTGGGCTCACATACTCGGTGGCGTACGCGTGGCTAATTGCTGTGTTCAACAAAGTTCCTTTCTTCGACGCTGATGTTTCTAGGTAACGAACATATATGCAGGCTATGTTTAGAAAACGTTTTCTAACGATCGCAGATTTAGACTGTACAGGCTCTAGATTAAAATAGGGAGAGGGAGGTTGGCATTTGTCTTCTGCATACCCAATGGCTGCATGTTTCGCCACAGTCGCAAAAACAAAAGAACCGGGGTGGAGAAGATGAGGAGACAGAGTTTAAAACATAAAAACGGCAAGAATGTGTTCGCCTTGCATTCGACTGGTCACTGGATCAAATCCCAGACAACGACACTGGACGGGGTTTTTCATTCTTTCTTACGGTCCTTCCAGATTTCCTTCTATTCAAACGATTCCCCGCGATGTGTAGAGTAATGGCCGCACCAGCGTCGGCACTGCGCAAAATTCATCCACGCACCGCACGCAGATCTACTGAACGCGACTGCCATACGCGTCCATCGATAACTTCATGACTTCAGCCGCCTTCAAAAAATATTTGAAAAGAGTGCACAAATAATAACAAAGGGTATTTACGGCTATTACACGCGCGGCCGAGTTTGTATGCAGGAAAATAATCACTGCTTTAAGCAATCGCTGCACAGCCAACTCACGTGATTCGTAAGCAGAGCATTTCTTCACACAATTAGACGCTGCTTAGGGTCTATTACTATGAAGTCTCGAAGACACGTGTTCGACTTATAAATTATTCAGACGGGAAAGGCCAATCAGCCATCGTATTCAGCTAATGACAGGTTCAAATCTGACCTCAACTGCACACAACGAACACTCCTACTTGCAGCTCAATAAATTTAGGCTTCCCTGCTAAAATTCTATCAGCATTTTTCATCTCTCCCACTCGTGTTACATGCTTTATTTGGCCCTCTAATAATTCCAAGTGACAACAACCTTCAACACCAGCTACGAAGTGCGTCGTTGAACAAAGGGAACTCCAGCAGGTCACACGCTGAGCGAGACCGTTAAGAAATACAAGTTTCACGCCTGTGTGTCCCGGGTCATCGGTGGGCCTGCTGTGTTACCGACTGCAATGCAATCGCGTGTTACATCACTTCGTCATCAGACGATAATTGAAGTACCACTGCGATCACTTACAGACGACAATACAAGAAGCCAAGAAACGAGCGTTTATTTAAAAAACGTGGTACTTATTTTTCCTTCACTCACCCAGAAACTCGGCATTATCCGCAAGTGACAAAGGTTTCTTATGCAACGAAGCGGATCAGAGTTCTTGACAAGCTGATAGTCGCTCAGACACACTTCTCCGTCTTTTATGGAACCCACGGGTTCACGAGGCTCGCCAGTGGAGCCCGTCCTGAGCCAGTTTAATCAAGTACATACAATCACATCCCATTTTTAAACCAATCTTAGTTTTTTCTTTTCATCTACATCTAAGTCTTGCAAGTTCTCTCTTCCATTCAGTGCGTCTAATACAATTTTGTATGCATTTCTCATCTGCCAGATACGTTGCATATAGAGCAAGCAATATACAATAAAATCAAAAAATATTTTTAAAAGTTTAATTCTGTCTCGGAATTTTGTTGGTAAAGGCTGCTGAAGTGTTCGCTACAGATCCTACACAATTTAGGTGCATTAGGCCCCCTCATTATCCGAAAGGTGACCTAACGCCTAATCTGCGACCTCGTGCCTTTCTCCGCAGAAGCGTCTTCAACAGGCCCACTCACTCACCAATCCACTGACAGACAGTTCTATTCAGCGCAGACATTTAATTTACGGCTGCCGAATGCGAATGTCATATTCAATTTTGTGGTCTGCCGCTGACAGGACATTCATCAACTTGACTCAAAAAATTATAACTTCATAAAGGAAATATATAAAAGTTACCAATAAAGAATATGACGCAGGCTCAGTCAGCTCTGAACCAACGAGTATGGGGTTCAAACAGTTACAAGTGTAATTGAACGTAAGTCAGCGTACGTCTAAACGTGGCGTGATGATAAGTTGATGAAACAGATTCTTCTCAAAATTGCAATTTTCATGCAATGACGTGTGTGTGAGGGGAAATTTACTCATAAATCTTAATTTTTCCAGCAAAAAATTCCATAAGACAAAACAAAATTAAATTCAACAGAGCAACGCCACTGTAAGTCTGTTGAACTTTAAAACAAATTTATCTTTCTACAGTAATTAGTACGTATTCATCGGCACTTGCGAGACAATGCGCGACAGATCAACTAATTACGTTTATGTAATCAGCTGACCGTTACAACGCCAATAGGGAAGTACGAGCCTCAGACTTTCCTCCTCGTAGTCGACTACGATCACACGTCACTCACCTCTGCTGTCTCTTCACTTCTTTCCGGACGCTACCGCGACTTCTCATGAACGTGAAGGGTCCTCCTCCACCACCGGCGGACTTCTTGTCTGTCCGGGTGACACCCGCCATGCCAGCATCACACCAGTCGAAACCAAACACAACACACGAAAACACGAGGCCCGACCGGCCCGCTAACAAATCCCTTCTGTTGCCACCTTCACTGGCAGCCAACGTCTCCCGCTTGACTCCTTGGTAAGCCAGTTCCACCAGCCATCAACTACACCGGTTTTCTGAGACGACTCTGCCAACCACTGCACTGCAACAAGAGAGATCGCAGGGTTGCCACGTTGTTATATTCATAAAGTTCCTTCCACATCACGCTCTCTCTGCCTCTGAGGGGGCCATGCAGCGAAGTTGCGGCGTGTACAGGGGCACCCACCCAACGTCGTCGAGAGCAACAATTTAGCTTAAATTCCCGTTATTGGTCCACCGTCTACATTTTGATCACGTACGATATTGGACTGCGGGTTTGAACCTCGCTCGATGCATGAATGTACAAATACACCCACGTCTCTGTTACAATACGTCGACCTGTGAAGAAGGAATAATGAACGCACGGCATTACACGAGCTAATAAGCTGACTTAGACAGCTTCAGTGTTTGGTGTTTGGACACTGAAATACACGAGGAAAATAAGCATGATTGTGGTGAGATCTGACTTTGAGGAAAAAAACTGCCATAAGTAGATAAGGACACTTAAATACGGATACTTGAATTGGGAAATTACGCTCTGAGCATTCAATTCCCCTGTCAAGTACGTAAGATAGGCTATAAGGTTCTACAAATAAGTAAACATTCTGCTTGCTGTCTCATCATTACATAATCGTGACTTTTAATGGCAAATTCTGAAGAACCCACTTATGGTTGCAACACCCAAGATGTATACAGAATTATTCAGCAAAAATTCCAGAGCGCTGAAAACCTGAGCAAAGATGACGCTTCTTAAGACCAAACCCTCGATATCGGATCGATAATGACGAATCGGAGACTCCTTCTGTGTTTACCCGTTCACAAAGCACCACCGCATCATCAGCACCATCACAACATATCACAATGACATAAGCAAGAACACAGTTTGTGACATTTTAACAAACTCCAAAACACCATTAACGTTGGTAAAATATGAATTTGTTTGGAGAATAGAAATGGCGGTCTGTGCAGAAGAGATGAATAAAGCCACTGCAATGGAAGGTTCGCGGCACAAAATGAACACAGGAAAGGACTTTTTGGTTCTGTAAAAGGCGGGAAGTTTCTTGACCACTAGAGCGACAATTTAGTTAAAAAGACGACTCTGTTCCGTGTACGGACTTACTAAAGAATTGATGGGTCTGCTTATTTAACGGCCGACACCAGGAAGACGTTCTACTTTTAACACGGCTGAAACGGTTGTTATGTAAGGAACTACTTTGCTTCACGATCGCTTTTGTAGCTGCTCCAGGAATGGACTACAACAAAGTTGTTTGCCTCAAAGGGCAACACAAATATTGCCCCTATAAATGGCTGACACGACCAACGAACACGGATCGAATTTCAATAAGCGTTCTTAATACCCAAGTGCTTGAAAGTCCTTTCAGGACGAGCGGAGTCACTACACCGACCGAGCAAAGCCGCCTCGACTCGCGTGGAGTCTATGAAACTTCAATTTTAAATTTTTTTAATTTCTGGGGGAATTTCAGCTGATTTTGTAGTTTTACAGCTTTGCAAAATTCTGAAATTTGTTGTTGAAATTTTCAGAATTTTAATGAACTTTGAACATTTTCGAAATTTTTAAATTTTTCAGAATTGTGAACAAATTTGAAAATTATTAATTTTAAGCATTTTCGAACATTTTTTATTTTATTAACTTTTTAGGTAATTTTAGAAATTCATGTAACTGTTCGAAATTGTTGAATAGGCTATTCAAAGTCCGATCCAATACCGACAAACAATGACCTTTTTACAATTACGTGTTCTTAAAACGTGTTGTGGCTTCAAGCAAACAGCTGTCAAATTAGCAGAACCCCTCATTCTTCTCATCATACAGCACTTGTTACACCATTTCACAAGGCGTTACAGTTCACTTGCTATGTCTAAAGTCTGAAAACATAAAACGTATTACAGAGTTCGCTAAATTGTTTCGCTAACTGTTACAAATGAACGCGAACGTATTTACGTGCTGTTCACGTGGCATCGCCGGGTCTCGGAGATTTCGGCATATTCCGTACCAAATTTACGGAACCTGAAGTTCTTCGTAAGTGGCAGCTAATCACAAAAGTGGCATTTCCTAAACATTACCTTGAAAACAGGTTACATTAATTTAAGACAACGCACAAATCACACTTTCGTTCTGCGCACAAAACTGGAAACTGCAGGAAACAAGATAAGAAAAAAGGGGCTGTTTAATGACACTGAACCTTTCGACTACGTTGCCCCATGGCTATTTATAACGTACATTTTACAAAGTTCTCAAATTTGTTTTAAAACCCGTCCACTTCCAGTCACTGCAAACAGCATTTGTATTTACATTACAGTCTAACACATAACACTTCGAGGTGTGACGAAAACACGACTCAAAATTCCCACGTGCCCACAAATTTAAGTAAAACTTACCAATACCAAATTTAATAAAAATCCGTGGTTATCGCGTTGATGTGCGCGTGCAGAAGGACGTACTTTCGGACACGGCGAAGCTAAACGTCGCATTTGTCAGTCGAGAACACGGCCAGAAACTGAACTATCAAAGACCGTGGTCATTATAAGTAATAACGAGGCAGGTATTTAGGGCAACTCCACGGGGAACCTCGTGGCCCAATGTGGGGGGGGGGGCAGCCTCCACGATACTTTCCCGATTGTCGGATGACGTCCGATTCGGTCATAAGGCAGACCGCGTGTATCAACGTGACATTCGTGACCGATGGAATGACACGACGCATCCTTACTTGCAGTTTTTTATATCTTCACTGCCCTAGATTTTTAAACTCACACACGTACCTCTGTGAGCGATGCTTTGTATGTCAGGGGTGAGCTTGTATCAAATTGAGGAAGCATTTTTTTTTACCAACAGAAAAGAATGTAGCACTGACGGGTCTGGAACATCGCCGTCATGTATCATACGGAACTGAATTCAGATTTAGAAAGTCGAACAATGTTTCGGAGGAACATATCGCCTCCATCTTCAGGGCTTTACAAGCAGACGATCAATATCGATAAGTGGCATTCCTTTCCTAGTTACGTGGTTTATAAACCGTGCGTGGTGGTACGTTGGCCACGTCTTTGTCACACACAAACAGAAGCCACTTCAGATCAGAAACCCACACAAATGCGTTTATCTCGAGAGGAATGTGTCTCCAGCGACAGACAACAAAGGCCCGTAATTTGGCTGTTAATTTCAACGAGCGCCATGTGTTGAATGATGCATTCTTATGACTTGCAGAACGGTATGCAAATACAGAGACCGGGCGAGCCCGTGCGTGGCTGAAAGAAGGAGAATGTTCATCCTGGATTCTCTTCCCGAACTGCGAAGGGAGAAACTACGGAACTGAATCCTGTAAAATCGACGGCAAATTAACAAGGCATTAAAGTACATTTTAGTTTCGTTTAGTTACTTTGTCAGCGGTGAATCCACAAGCCAGAAAACCAACATCGACGTCTTCAAGGCCGTGGGAACTTCAAATTTCGAGCCGTCTATTTCCTTCCAGGGACGACGAACTCCAAACACGGCTCGTCGTAAGCCATTAAAACATTTCTTGCAGTAGGATTTGATGTTCTCGCGGAGGCGAGACCAAAGATGGCTGTCTTCTGGGTTGTATTGCGTGTAGTCTAGCAGAAGTGTACCGACGTTTGCTGACTCCACCATATTTCAGTGGTCCCTGATGATGGAAACAGCAACAACCTCTGAAACGTCGGCAAACGTCTGCCAGACTAAACGGCGCTACAACCCAGAACCTCAAATCATATTCATGTAAGCTGGTTTTACAAGGAGACTTTCCATTTCTTAAAAGTAAGAGATAGTCTACGTCATTTCTCACATCGCCTGCATATACCAGAGGGGTTAATAAGACTGAGCAGGTGACTTATACGGCATGGAGGCTCAGGACGAGAACGAGCAAACCGGACGCAAGAGAACAAGTTGATTCTTTGTTTAATATTCGAAACGGAATGTAAATGTCTCGGGACAAGTCCTGATAAAATAACATCGCGATGATTTATTGTACAATATCAACTCTGTAATGAAGGAACACGAGACACAGCACCGAGAACAATACACATGCCTGAAGAATATTGACATCGATTTCAAAGTTCAAATATTATTCCACGCAATGAATAAGCATTGAGACTAGAACGTCATCAGGTTTTACAACATGGCTGCTGTTTCTTTAAGTTGCCTCTGATAACTAAAATTAAATAGATTTTTTTTTTGAAAAATTCTCGATGGTGGGCACTTGTTCAAGTAACTTCCAGGTCACGAAGATGTTTACGAACACCAATGAATTCAAGCGCGCGCACACAGAGAGAGAGAGAGAGAGAATAATATTCTCTAACCAGTACCCACGTAAACTAATCCCTTTTCCAAATAGTTTAAAAACTGAGATCGAAAATGAAGCCAAAATGCTACGTGACAATTTAACTTGAAATATCTTCAATATGACCATCTTCTGGGATGTTGCGCCGTGTAATCTGGCAGATGTTTTCCGACGTTTCAGAGGCGCCTGCTGCGATGACTACACAGCGCAACATCCAAGAAGGCAGTCATCTCTGTGAGATGGCCTTCGTGTATGCAGACACTAACATTCAAACGGCACGTATGCAAATACTTCAAAGAAGAGGAAATTTAATATTTGCACGTTTCGGAAAGAACGCCGCAACCCTAGACGCTTTTCACCTTCAAAACGAACGATTATCACGTAACAAGAGTGGTGAAACAGCGCCAGGTAGCCTAATTGGGCTGAACTCTAAATATGGGGATAGTTTATCTGTAAGAACGAAGACATTATTCACATGGCCTTGTGGCAAGTGCACGTCTCGAAGACTTAAGGGAAGAAGACAGGTCGAAACGTCTCTTCTTGCAGAAATCTGCGCAGAGATCGCACAATTGTCGCCCACTACAGACTGCCGCGTGTCCAGACTTCAAACACTCGACCTTTGTATCAGCACCACTTGATCTCCGACAACCGAGCATGAAGATGGCCGTCTCCTGGGATGTGGCATCTTGTACTCCGGTAGAATATGACCGACGTTTTAGAGATGCTTCCAACCTTCGTCATCAGGACCGTAACCGATCATTCATCGCCCTGATGATGAAGGCAGTTAGTTCCTCTGTTAAGTCGATCAGTTTCTGCCGAACTGGCCGACGCCAACACCCCAGAAGACATCCATTTTGAGTCCTCAGCTCCGTCTCCACAAAAGGTCCCACACCAGATGACAATATCACGTTGTCTCCTAGTACAGCCGACAAAGACATTCCGTACACAGAGAAAAAGCTCCATCAATGAACTGCAATTACAAAAATTTAAAACTTCTAAGATGAGTGACGTTGTGGACGGTTGGCACCCCTGTTTTGGTGGCCACGCAAAGTTCAGCAGTGAGACAACAAACACCCACAAGCAACACGGACAGAGCGACAACCACCATAAACTTGACTGCGATGGATGTTTCTGGCTTCTTTTCGTAAAAGGTCGCTTTGAAGACGGCGAGTGTAGACCAGCTGTGATCCGAGTATCGCATTACATGAGAGATTGCTCCCACATTCTGAGCTTTTTAACTGTCGACTGGAAAAAAGGACGACCGCTTTGGTGAAGATGATGAACAGATTCCTGACAGGTGTGGGATGCGGTCACTGCTCTGACGTCATCATCTGCAGCTCTCCGAAACCTGCGCGGGGTTCATCGTCTTCTCTATGATTTTGCAGAAGACCTGACTCCGGTAAGTGTCAAGAGGCCCGAATCGCTTAAATAATCTGATTATCGCATGCACCTGAACAACAAATACACCTATTTTTTTAAAATATTAAGTAATATTGAAAATAATATGGTTTACAAGCAAAAAGGAGTGTTGTATCCCCCCCCCCCCCCCCCGAGTTTTATAAAATGCAACCGTTCAAAACAATCCGCCACCGAAAATTTCCCGAGTCACTTGAATCAAATCTACACCGTTTTACATTTTAATATTATCCTGCCTACTACGCGTAATCTTCTGGTTCTCCTAACTAAAAAAAATTGTAAACATTTGTCCTCATTCACTGAAGCGGTCAGGTCTCAAGATGGAGGCAGCATGTTCCTCCGAAACATTGGCACCTGCCTGCAAGTTCACGCGGCGTTACAACTCAGAAGTGACCAAAATCGACACATTAACCGCCCTTAATCTGTTGTACCCAATTTGGTGAATGCGCGCAAATTCGTTTACGCAAGCCTTTCACCGCCCGTAATCGAATTCTGTGGAACAGGCGACTCGTAAACTCAACCCAGGAATGAAGACGAAAACTTTCGTCCAACAGGAATCTCACACTCCGCCACGAAGAGTTCAAATGCATCGAACATGTCACAGGCTTTTCTGTTCTGAGAATCGCTCCTTGCTACGCCTGCTGCCTCCCTCCCTCTCTCTCTCTCTCTCAACGATCATCGAGCAAGTGTCTCGTGAACTGGAAAAGGTACAGCGGGTGGTATATTATTTCCAGATAGCTTCAAAGCAATTCGACGTCATGCGTTTATTGAACTGAGGGAACCAAATTTTGACCATATCGAGAGCTATTCACATTTCCCAGTGGACCCTTTACGGATTCTGGATGTTGTGAGAAAAATCCATGAAAGTTGTTTCTCATCTAGAACAAGAAGAAAGTAACTCCCGATCACATGGAACTATTTAGGGGAAGGCTGAAAATCTGCACTTGTCACACGGATGTGGAAATTATCGATTTTCGCTCTTAAAGAAAATAACAGACTGAGAGTGTTCGAGAAAAATGTTGACGAGAATATTTGGACGCGAGAGAGTTAAAGTATCAGAAGAACTGAGAAAATTCTACAGTTAGAAGCTTCGTTCATATGTTCGGGATCCTTCGTGAAATGTTATTAGTGCGATCAAAGAAAAGTCTGTGAGATAGGACGACTTGCAGCATCAATGGTGTGTCAAAAATGGATACAAAATTTCAGCCAAAAAAGAAAGAAATGCATAGATGGGAGGATAATATTAAAATTATGTTACACGAATAGGATGTGGATTCAGATACCTGATGATTTAGTGGCGGGCTCTTGTGAACATTAGAGCTGGATAAAAGTTGAGGGATTTCGTGAACAGCTGAGCTACTATCAGTTCCTCAAATAGGGCAGTGCTCAAATATTTCGTCTAAGTAGAGACATTTTTCTTTTAAATAACCTTCACTGACTGCAGACAGACGTCACTAGATTCTGTATTATTCACCGGCAACTGCCAAGGAGTTCTTTCGTCGAATATTTTGTTTTTGTAATCCGATGAGAAACTAAAGTTTATGTGAGTCTGCAGGTTTGTTATGTACGCAGATGTGGACTACTCGATACGAAACACCGCTCTCACAAGAGCGCCGCGTCGTCATGTTTTGGAACTAGAAAATGCAGCTTACAAATGGCCCTGGCACAAAGGAAGCGAACGCAGAGACCTCCAGGATTTTGTGGGCATTAATGAATCACAATACAATAAATCGTTACTCTATTCAAAACAAATGGCAATTTACCTTTTGTCGTCACACTTTGGGAGACCCTAACCCAGAGGGCCACGGTCCGCAGACCTCTCGCATATCCATTTTAATAAACTAAACTTCCTTGAGTCATATAAGCCTATGCCCACTGTTCCATTATATTCAAGTTTGCCCCAAACATACGTCAGATGTATACGTGACTGAATCAAGGCGTGACCTTGAATAACCTCGAAAGTAACTTCGGGTGCATTGCTACATTACGCAATAAATTACCTACATCTGATGATCGTAATGGGGCGAACCAGTGTATTGGTAAGAAACACTGAGCTACAGACTAACATATAACAAATTGCAATTCAAGGACGGTAAAAATGATAAGGATGAATGCTATTACTGGTAATACTAATAATGATTAAGGCATCAACTAATCTTGACATAATGAACTACCTGACCTTCAACGTTACATGCTACTTATAATATACGGCAACAGTAAAAGAGCAAACCACTTTCAGCATTAGAAACATTGCTTCTAGCATATAAACACTGTACAACAAAGTTTCAAGAAGTTGCTTTGTAGGAATTTGGTTATTTGCAATTTATTTCGTCGGCCGGTATGATTTTAATTTCGTGATTAAACTCCACATGAAACTGATCTGCCCTAAAATACTACTACTACATATTTCTATGGAGTGCCTACAATGTTTACAAACAAGATCTCAATTTTACCTTGAGGGATGCATGAGTATAATGCAGGTGAAAAACACATGTACATTTCCACGAACAAACACTTCGACCGCCATAACTGTTCACGATGGACTTCTCTTAGTTCGAAATATCACCACAACGTTCCGCTCTAATCAGCGATGTGGCTAGCGCCAATATAGGCAGCATCCGGAACTTCCTACTTTATTCACAGTCTAATATTAATTTAATTAAAATATTGCTGTAATGTTTACGTATTATAGGATATGTATTTCGTAAACAGTGACGAATTTCCTATCTTTCTTTCTTTCTTTGTATGGGGCTGTTCTGGTAAGTTATTGGTCCCACTGTAGTCTGTTAACCTCAACCTCAAAGGTGAAATAACTCATGTCAAGATCATCCATCTCTTCTTGTGCTTATGATATCATCAAATCAGTGTTTTTATTGTACTTATATTCATATTAGTAAAAATTTACCCAGAGCTCCCTTCTGGCAGTATACAACAGTACATTGCATCAAGCCATTTTATAGCAAAAAAGTAATTAGAAAGTAACCATAAAATATGTGTTATTAAAAATCAAGTATAATGTGTAAAAGAGCAATTTTGAGGAATTTCGAGTCCTTACACGACACTGGTCACAACCAAAGCTTGTGTTTGTTTAGAGAGAACAGTCCTTTTCATTGAGCAATGAATTGTGATGCCAAATAGTCTTTTAGACTATTAGTCATAAACATTTCAGATGAAACTACCGCCACCATTTTCAGGTAGTGAGGTGACAGGGTCCTCCAAAATGTTATTTAATACCCAGTCACGTGATCTTACTTCCTCGTAATATACGCTTCAGAACCTTAATAAAGTAAATCAAATTAATTTACAGATTGGTTTCCCTCAGTCCCTGAAAGCAAATACCCAGACAGAACTTTTTAAACCAGGTCATGACCTCACACTTCCAGTTCACCATTTCACACTTTCAGGAGAAATTCTCTGTCCTCAAGAATGCAATAAACTGTTGTATGCATAAATAAATAATAATTGCTACAAACAGGAAACAACAGAAAGGGTGAGCACAAAAAAGGGGTTTGTCAAAAAGAGGATTCAGAAACATTAAATTACGCAATGCGTGGAAACAAAAGACAACAGAAAGTGCGTTGTATTGGACAGCAAATACAAACAAACCAATTATTATTATTCGACTTCTTCTGACAGAATCCTCTGCTGTAGCAGACCTCACAGATTTATTTCGCCGACAGGCTTTACTGTCAGCTCGTGAATCTGGAATAAAACATTTGAGAGTAATTAAAACAATTGGCCACAGTCAGAAAGCATGCAAATTTAACCTCAGCTAGTCCTACAGATACACAAGAAAGACTTTTACCTGCGACATGTATATACACTTTACAAAAATGTCACTAAATCTTAATTATAACCTAAATTACTTCTAAAATTCATAAAGCAATTAATCAATACAGGCGTTAAAACTATTTATTAATCAGTCTTCATGAGGGCTCCATGAATTAGAGCGGTAATAGGGCACCAAATCCTAATGGTAGGTCGCTCCACCAAATAAAGAATGTTCCAAAGGTTAATATTCCGTATTATAATTTCTGCGTAATAAAACCACAGTCCTTTAAAATTGCTGACATAAAAGTAAAGGTGAAGCAGAACCGAGCAAACATTTTTGAAAACAACTTCCTCTCATTGAACAACACTTTCACATTTCATTTGCTCCATGAGCCCCTTCGTGCGTACGACAGGTGGAAGCAGCAGGGTCAGAGGCCCTGTTCAAGGGGAGAAGTCTCTACCTGCACATGGGGCGGAGCGGCCAGCACATACACGACGGCATCTGCGACGTCTCTGGGTTTCAAACTCGGTACTCGGGCATACAGCTCGTCGGTGTTCAGCGACTTCCTAGCCCCAGCTCGCAACATCTCCGTGTCTACTAATCCTGGACTGACGCTCTGGAACGACCAACAGAGGCGTTCTTTACAGCACACTAACTTTGACTACAGAAAAGCAGACGGCCAGCTTTTCCAAATGTAATCTTGTTTCAATTCTCATCCGATGACTCCACGATGTGAAGCTAGCTCAGCGGTAAACTAGGAGAATTCTTTTTCAGCTGCCAAGAGTAACTAATGGTGGACAACCTGTGACACCAAGCCGTCAATCTCCCACGCATCAATGACAGTATTTTTACATGCAAACACCCGTATTAAAATATGTACCACTGCACCATCCGCTTTCCAAAATGCACAAGATTTGTTTTTTATGGGTGTGAAACATGGAACAAGCTGCTTCCGTGAAATGGCTCCACACAAAATATTTTCAGCCACCGGAGAGCTACTGCTGGTTAGCATCCTTATACGGGTCGCCTGGAATTGTTAGGGCGGCACATCCAGGCGGAAACTCTGCCTTACAATGTGGCCCATGGTAGGGGAGACAAGAAATGCATACAGAATGTTGTTGGGAAACCTCCAGGAAAACAAAAAATTTTCAAGACTACGAAGCAGATGGTAGGATAACACTAAGGTAAGGCGGGCTTTTGTGGAGATGGGAAATATCTGGGAGTGTTTCAGGTTCGTAACCAAGGATAGTGCTAGCTGATTGTTTGGTTACATAAACGCTGTGTTGCACGTACCGTCACGCGGATCCTTGAGTTCTGAGACACCAGCTCCCTTCTCAGCCCCTCGGTCAAAGCCGTGACAGCGTGCTTTGTCGCGGAGTACATGTGGAAGCCTGGCATTGACACATCGTAGTGCCCCGCGATGCTGGAAATTAAAATGTCAGCGCAATTATATGGAGAGTTCCTCATCCAGCGGTAGCAACTGCAACTCAAATCTTGTAGTTTTTCTATTTCAATGGGGGGGGGGCTCTTGATCGAACGAGCGACGACAGTGCTGAAAGCCTACCTGTTGATATGGACAATGTGTCCGCTGCTCAGGTCCCGTTCCCTCATGATTTTCAGTGCCTCTCGTGTGCAGACAGACAAACCCAGAACGTTCACGTCAAACATGTTCCTCCACTCGTCACTGCTGCCCTCTGGAACCACCAATTGGAACTCAGTACAACGTTCAGTTTTCAATTGATTTGGGTGATGTACTTTATTGGTTATACACAATCTTCAAAACCTTGTAGATGGAGGAAGTATGGTCCTCCGAAACGTTCGTACCTGAAAGCAGAGACTCGTACATCACTCCCGCGTTGTTCACGAGAACATCAACTCCTCCCAGTTTCTTCTTCACTTCCGCAAAGGCGCAAAGAATGTCATCTTCCTTAGAGATGTCACATCTGATTGGTAGCAGCTTCCCTGGACCTCCAGTTAAGCTATCAGCCAATTCCTGGAAAATAAAAATCCCCATCCAAACTGTTAATGACTCGCATGTCGAGCGACTTTTATCTGACCACAGCGTGGCCTTATCTCTAATGCTGAAGATCGAACAGATTTCACACCATATGCCCTTATATGCAGTAAAACTGTGGGGCAGTTTTAGTATCTGCCTGGATTCGAAGTGGGTGCTTTTGCTCTTACGTATGCCGCTTAAGCAGGGAGGTAGTGTCGCCAGGTCCAGGGTGATGGATTTGAAATTACGCTGACTTGACAACAGTAGGCTTATTCGAACAATTAACAGAGACGATTTTGACACAAGGGACTGATTTAGGACTGCCCGAGCTGAAGTCTGTCTATTGCGCAGGTCTGGAAACCCCATTGAGGGTGGGGACCGAAGCGACGTGCCTGAGAGATGCAGTCGTGAGACTAAAACTCATTTCAGGGACGAGGAGGATATTGTCTTAACTACTTTAGATCGATGCAGGGACAAAGGCCGCCGGAGCCAGAAGCTGGCACATGATCTGACGTTACCTGAACCTTGCTGATGCGCCTGGCAAGTCCGGCAACTTGCATGCCATGTTTGACCAGCTCCAGTGACACGGCAGCTCCGATTCCAGAACTGGAGCCAGTCACCACGGCGACCTTGTCGGTCCAGCGCTCCATCCTGTCTGAATCAGTTCGATCAGAAACACGTCTAAACTTGATCAGAGGGTCCCTAACAAATTAGTCCTCCTGTCACCTGAAGACGGAAACAGAAGAAACTTTCGAAACGTACTTTCCTAAGTCACCTAGACGATGGATAAATCCAACAAAAAATTCTTACACCATTTTGAGGCTTCAGTCGGGTCTTCGCCATCAAATCTTGTCTTCAATGTCAACTGAGCAAGAGACCACCAAACGAGTAACCCACAGAATTGCCGCGTAGGTTGGAAACTTTTAAGTTAACTTTCAATCAGACTAGAATTCAGTGACAAGCAACGTGGGATGAACGGGCTAAGACGATTTATATCAATCTCGTCTAGTAAATAATCCACCCACTCTATTCACACACACTGATAAATTGTTACCAGTTTCCAAAACCTATCGTGAAGTTATAGAATTAACCACTTACTCACACGATAGCAAAACAAACAAACACTCGCTCACTGACAACGTCAAGGCATTTTACTTACCTCTTCACAAGTCTTGAGCCAACTGCCAGTAAGAACAGAGCGTTGAAACTGTTACTTGCATCAGAAATGAAAGTGAACGGACTCCAAGGATGTCTTCGGGTCACAAAGCTTCCGCGTTGATCGTAACCTTGATTACCCTCTGACTCACGAACCAAGAAACTTATCTGAACGCAAACTTTCAGCGGATCAATTGGTATGCAGACAGCAAATGTCCAGTACGTAACGAAAGGACATAAATTATCGCTGTCCCGATATGTGACCTCGAACTATTTTCTCGCTCGCAAGGTTACGTACTTGAGTCACTGTAAAACGAACAAAAAATGGCGATATGAAATCGTTATCATTGCGGGACAATAAAGACGTCTGTCTTGATAACGACACGCAGAGAAACTTCTTGGAGAGCGTTAACCTCATTTTCTTAGCTCAGGGCAGACGCAGGACGGAAGCGGCCAGCGATAAAAATCAATCCAGAGACGCTCGGAAATTATTTGATAAAAAATACTCTGGCAGAATTCGGAATTTATCGTCGTTCAAATAAAAACCTGTTGTCAATTTGACGACGTTCGCCTAACGATGTCAAGTGCCCACGTCGACGGTCCTTCGGAGTTGCTGTCGCAACCAGCAGACCGCGCCACAAACACTCCGAAGACAAATGACAGGCCCACTACGTCATGTGCGTCGGAACAGGGAGTTTTAAACATGAAAACGAAGGGAAATGAATTTGTTGGGATCTGTAAAAGACATTTCTGTGGTTGTGGAACACAACAACAAATTGTTGATGATGGGTAATGGTAACGAATGTTATAATTTTTTTTTTTTTTATAAATACGCACTCATACAATTGTATATTTCATCCAAATTCTTCAAGTCCACTCATTAAAACAATGCTCAAAATAACATTAATCAATAATAAGAATGCACGAACTATGGGTCAGGTGTGAGAGCGAACGTGCACTTGAATTGCGTCCAGGAAGTGTTCACGCCACTTCTTGTAAACTTACCTCAGCCGAGACGAGGGAAGCACTGAGTTAAGTTCACTTAAAAATACTGCTTAAGCAGTCTCGCTTACAGATAAATATCAAAATTCTGAAGTTAAAAAGCATTCCAAGTTGCGTGCTGTGTCATTTGTCTGCAACAAAATGCTGAATGGTCTGGAGAACCGAATAAAATTATAGCAGAGACTGTAATTCTCTTTCTACGCACGCGCAAGTGAATTAGTATTTTAGGCTGACTCTCTCACTCACTCAGCGCCATCTGTGACTTAAAACTACAGTAATACAATCAAGTCATCGTTTTCTCTGTCTGAACTGACGTGGACAGAGACATCTTTCAACTCTGGCTTAAAGCCGTGGCCTTTCGCGGTATTTCCTTAAAATTCTTCTGCGTTCCCACACAAACAAAATTCACCAACTACGTCATTTGCTGTGACCACGTTGAATTCATTCACCTCCACTTTTAGTTGTAACACGCAACTAACGGCGATGTTACACCTTCTGGGCGTCTGGGGACTGGAATTATTGGAGCACAGACTCCCGAAGAAATCCGTGCAGCTCCTAATACTTTGTCGTGGTTCACAGCGGAAGACCTACACGTAAACCTCACTTCTCTTCGTCGAGTTGGCCTGCGAGACGACACTCGCCTTCCTGCTGCGGTCATCCCGTGTCGCGTTCTCATTGGCGCTGCTCGTGCCGTCATCCTCTGCTCCCGAACTGAGTTCTGTCAGTGTCACCGTGGGCTGGACTACGTGGAGGGGCTGTGGCGGCGTCATGGATGCGCTGGGGCTCAAGTTTCCAAAGCCCAGGGACTTGAGCAGAGGCTGGCTCATGGCCACGGTGACGGGCGCCGTGGTCAGAACCGCCGTTGCCGAGCCTGGGTTTGCGTTCAACGTGACGGAGCTGATGCCTGCCGTCGTGAGGGCAGGCGACAGGACTGCCTGGGCAAGAGCTGCAGTGCCCCCCGGACCGCCCTGGTGATGGTGGTGGTGGTGGTGATGGTGACCACCAGAGCCGTTCTCCAGTTCTTGTATCGGAGACAGCACCACTTGAACGACAGGCAGCTCGGTGGAGTACCCTTGGTGATGGTGGTGGTGGTGGTGAGCGCCATTCACCACCACCTGACCGGAGAACCCTCCGCTGGTCCCTCCCCCCGCGCTGTTCATGTGTGCCAACTTGTTTTCACGATCAACGACCTCTTTGGTGACATCGGGCGTTGGAATGCGCGGCCGATTCTTCAGAGCTACAGGGACGGCCGACCCATTCATCTTCGTGGTTCCTGCAAAACGAGGAGGAGAAGAAGAAGAAAAAGCTTTGTTGACTGACGTAGTTTAAACCTCATCATGTGTTATTGACCCAATTCTGCGCAGAATTGGATCAATAAATGATCTCATTAAAACTTCTTCCTTCATTATTCCTAAATTTCTACGCGAATGTTGTGCAGGTGAGTCTAGGCACGTGACGCGAACATTTGAGAGCATCCTCAGCTTTGAAGGCAGGCAGCTTCTTTACAAGAGTCCATCAATGATACGAAATCCCACAGAAATGCGTGTTCAACAAACCGGACAAGGTCTTGAGTGTAAACCATGTCACTTCGTCGTCGTGCCACGTAATTCGCTCATTAGTGTCATGGAGCGACCACAACCAACATTTATAGCGTTTCATATGTCTTTATAATCAACACAAAATACAATAGGACATTCCAGAAACTTCGCCTGCAGTGATTAGCCTCAAACATGTTCCACAAACCCCGCCTTAACGCCGTGGGCAAATAGGCAATACCAGGTCCCGTAATAATCGAACCTTATCGACTGAGCTGGTCGATTAGCGGCCATTAAACTAAAAACTGAATATGGAATTCGAGCGGCTGCTATGTTGTTGTTTTAATTCCATAAGATCAAAGATTTGTCACCACAATCAATTTCAGAATTCAACAGAGATTAAACATTCCTTGTGCACACACACACACACATGCTCCAGATGGTGAGCTCTTTGTATTCTTATAGACGCGAATGAACCTATGAACCACCCTGTATATTGTCTCGCCAATCTCAGAAGTTCCCAAGGCCACCATATTGGTATTAACAACGACAGGAAATGAAGGAATCACGAAGCTAGCTTGACCTCTGGGGCATGAAGTTCATACCGAGACCCACGAAGATGCATCAGACGGCCCTAAACTATAACGACGGGCAGATGGACAAGAGCACATCCAAACCTACGAAGATTATATTTTTTTATTTCAGTTCATGAAAGTGGAGGCGTTGCGTGATGATGGGAGTACACAAGTAAACACATGACGAAAGTCAGCAAGACAAACGAGCTCACAGAATAGAAAGTGTTGTTACTTGCAAGGCGTCTCGGGTACCACCAGACGGTCTATTTATTTTTTTCTGGGCAGATTCCAGAATCGGTGAATGATCCACGAGAATTCTGTGCCAACGGGGTCTGTGAGACAAGACAAGACGATATTTCGCAGCCAGCAAGAAAGTTTACTGAAGCTCACGTGTCGACATACGAGAAGTAAATCACGTTACTGCGTTCCGTGCGTTGATGTCTCGGAATGCGCACGGTCAATACGACTGGCTTTTCTTGTAATCAACCGGGCTATGTAACAAGGCTGGCAAGCTGCAATCCAATTTGCAATACACATAATTCTCTTGAAATTTCTTTTATCCCAAATGCTTCTAGCTGATATAAAGCATTTTCCATCATCGTACGTACAATTATATAATATGGGCTCTGGTCCTCAACACTAAAATTTACTGGGCATTTAAAAAATATGTTTCAACCGCATAATTTTCTAAAGAGTCTCTAAAGTCCGCGGTCAGTGATAACCAAAGCGTCTTGGCTGACAGTTTGTTTTTCCGATATTACAGATTCCAGTTCATTCTGGAGAACGCTGGATAATATTTAACTAATCGGAGTATCCAAAACCTGGACAACTCACAATTCCACCCAGATATTTTCATTCGCGAGAAGTTCCGCCCTGAAGAAATTCACCTGCTTCTAAGTGGAAACAGAACTGAGAGGCTGTGCGTTCGTTATAAATGTGCAGCCGTTGCTCAATGCAATCTGCTGACGACAGAAACGCAACTGTTTTGGCAGATTGGGGGTCCGTGACTTCACGTAGTCTCGGCCAGTCACACAACTTACTACGACGAACTGCTGGATGATTTGTCTTTCCTTCTGCTTTGCCGACAACGGCCTTGGAACAGTTGCGAACTGCAATGGCATGCATTACGAAGGATTTTGCGTGTTACTGACCGGGAACACGCAACAGGGAGCATGAAGACCCTACCATCGCACTTCAACCTGATGACTTTGCTGAAGACACGATTTAACGACAGATAGAACACCACCATTGGCAAGACGCTCATATAAAGGTGGCTACTTTGGTCAGCCCTTCGTGTAGCCAAACAGCTGATGCTGCTTGAAGTCGGTGCGGTCCTCATGTCAGCTGTTTTGTCGCTCCATGAACACTTCCTCCTGTGTGCCGGAATTTTATTACCAGTCGGACTTCTGTTGTCTTAACAGGAACTCCCTTGACAGCTTCACGACGGAGAAAGAACTCACCACGATCGCACGTACACAGCTTTCGCGCAACTGACGTGAGCAGCGGCCTAGCAACCACGGTGACCTTGACTCGAATATCACGGGGGTCGGCGGTAGAGTCTGTTACGCGCGGGTAGATCTGCTTCCAATTTAATTTCTAGGTTCAATCTGGAAATGCAAAAATTAACTTTCTGCGTAGTTCTTACACACCTTGCCTGCTGGCACCCCGATGACCGCGTCCGGACTTGCGGCCCACCAGTCTGTCATACAGCGACATCTTGTGCTGAAGCGCGGAGTTCGGTGGGCCCGCGGGCCCCGGAGGTCCCGCCTCAGGACTCGAATAAACCGAGTTGTGGCGACCTCTGCCAAACAAGCCCGACGAGTAAGTGGTACTCGACGATCGCACGGA